TAATGCTATTGCAAATTGAACTTTATACCAACAATGAATAGTTTCTTGAAAGAAGTTCCAATAATCGATTCTTTCCTTCGGTCGTTCTTGCCTCCTGTTTACCCTTGTAATGGTCACGGATAGATTGAATCTATCGCATGCGTTTTATCCACTGACTCGCCAGTTTTTTGAAGAATATACTGAATGCCGCTGATATTATTTAATCATTGTTTCGCATCAAAGTGAAATTGTGATTCAGGAAAATACCTGCCAGCATCAGGCTCGAGTATGTTCTATTCGTTGGTTCAGTCTCGACTGCGCACAGCTTATAAGAATGAAGATATAATCCAAACTGTAAAATTCTCCTAAATCTTCTTCAGTGTTGCTTAGATGCGGTTCATCAAAATATGCTCCTACGTTGGAGTGCGTTAAGATGCGCATAACTCCTCTAAGACAAAATTTCACGAAATACTGTGTCGTCCCGTTGCTCCTAGTTGGATGGATTACGGACAAGGCACGCTAGGATATTTGACCGCGTACAGTATCTTATGCATCTCGCATCATCTGGTTCGATAGAATAACCTCGTGGTCATCAACAGCGATGCTAGCTAATAATTTTAAGCTGGTAATTTTTTTATGCTACTGCATAAACATCAAAAAGTGTTTGTATGCTGGACTCTGTTAGAAACGCATAATTTCAGCGAGAGTGGATTTAAGTATGCCCTGTATTACTCTATTACGAATCATATATATCCGTTGAATTGTTCAGTATTATTCTGCCAAGATGTTGTACCAAGATTATTGTACCAAGATGATGTTTGAACAAAATATTAAAACATTATATATAATCTTTTGCCTTTCATAAGCGATCGCACTTTCCAGTCAGTTGTTTAGGCGCATCGATGTCGCTTCCAGTGCTTTTGGTAACCTGCCCTATACGTATGCTAATAAAGGAGTATCTGTTTTTACACAAATCCGCTTGTCCCCGCTTCTCTCAGGTCAGTGTTGGTGTTCGGCATGGTAATTGATGTTTAACGGCGATTGAACGGCGTGCAGTATGATTCGCTTCAACGCATAATGAGATTGAAATGTGAGGAACATGTAAGGAACCACTCTTTCCTTTTCCAGTCATAGGTGATTTCGGTAGATGCAAAGATTAAGTAAGGAGGATTTGACTGGTTCTTTCAGAGGGATGGCTGAGCATAAGCCATTTACTCCAGGCCATGAGCTTGTGTTCGGTCCGAAGCACGAAGGTTATCGACCAGGAGGTCAGCTTGTAACATGGATGAAAATGACAGGGTTTGTTGTTCTGTCATAGGAATTGAACTGTTCCTTCTACGATCGATTTACCGGCGCCTTATAGCGAAAGTTCACAAAAATTAGGACAGCATGGGACAGCAGATGATGTAGGGACGTCCTGCATATGCAGACAGCTCAGAGTAACAATTTTGACAGTCTCGCTTTGACCGTACCAGAAGGGAATGGAGCTACGGTGTTGTAGTAACCTGCATGCTCTTTAAAGATCAACATAGTTTGCTGTTCAGCCTAGCGACATTATCCAAGAACATGAACATGGAATATGGCAGAAACTCGCATGGCAGAGCAAATTGCGTGGAAATATATTTCTTACTGTTGTCGAAATGAGCTGCATTGTGGCCCATAGTTTGTTATGCACCGATATCCAGGGCTGTCACGATTCCCCTGTTGAAAACAGGGCTCTTTTAGGGGAATCTGTGATGCAAACTGAACGGTATCAATTGAAACCTGTCGCCAGTGTTCGTTCTGGATATGGTATAGAAGAGTTTTGATCGTACCGGACTTGAGATGAATCTCCTCATTAGTAGTAAGCAAAGTTTAAGAATGTAATGGTGGTTACGCCTGAAGTTTGAATGGTCGTTATCGAGTGCAGTAAAATTTTGTTCATTTATAGAGAGTGTAAAACGTATTTATCCAGTGTATGCATCTAACTTATGTGTAGTAGATTTTGTGGTCTAAATATTTTCATTTCTAAGAGTGGCTAGCATGTTTTTGTTTTTCACTTTCATGTTGAAGCTTAGCCAATGCTACATTGTGTGCTATTTCTGGATTCAAGCTTGTCAACTTAATCATGAACCATCCGCTCACGTCAGCTGATTTACAGCGAAGAAAACTGACTCAATGTTGAACTTCGGTAGAAGAGTCGGCCAACTGAAATTTCTGGCGTTGGCACAGAAGCATATATCAGTTGGCATCGGCAGATAACAAATGTTTCGCTGTATTATTTATTTCATTTTTATTTATTTCATTTGTTTTGATATTTATTTAAAAAGTTTCCTGACAGCTGTTCTTAAGAGCAATCTGAATGTAATC